ATTAGTGTAAGGTGTATAAATATACTCAGCACTGGAGTTATTATATTATTATTACACATGATTGCCATATATATAATCTATATCCAGGTCGTCTTGAAAATGTCGTTATACTTAGGGAAAAAAGTGCAAGTTTTAAAATGTCTCAAAAAAATTCGCTGAACGATAATATTTCAACATTTTAAATTGATTTGGTTCGGATGGGCCAATGTTTTTAAGCGCTTGTGCGAAAGGTAAGTCCTTACATTGTGGAATAATCTAGTTCTGCTTATTTCACAGTTAAAATTGATCCATAATAATAGTTTCACATATAAATCAATTGTACCTTAATTGGATCTGAGAAGTCTATGTTTCAGAACCTAACTCGTATACGGGCGCTCATAAAAAGTAAGCCTTACAACAAAACTAGATGAACAATAATATCTTTGGCAAAAAACTTAAGCTTGGACCACTAAATTTGGACCACGTCGGTTCCATATAAAAGCTCCCATGCAAAGTATGCCTTTACATGGAAACAAAATATAATTTTTGACATATTATGACGTAATTAAATGATAAATTATTTTACCTTCCACCGACTACAATGTTCTCACCTGTTTTGATATGACTAAATTACGCAAAAGAACATAACAAGTAAACCGGGCGTGCTGGAATTCAATGAAGCGATGGAAGAGCATTTCACCTTTTGTTTGATTTATGAAACTTTTTTCAAATTATATCTTCATTTTGAACCGTATCTTTCGTGTACACATGCATAGGCACACACATACGTACGTGCCCAAATAAATGCACACACTCGCAGATGCTGACTACATTAAAAGAAAAAGTTAATTTTCAATAACTTTCGATAAAAATTTTGCGCAAATAACATAAAAATTTCTCTTACTCAGAAATAAAGTTTAGTTAGCGTGTATTCATTGGGTATTCGTTATTTTTTTTCAAGTGTTCAAAAGCAACAGACGGACATAAACATAAATGGCACAATCGGATGATTAAAAGCCGACTAATTGCCTTATATACTAGCAAATCGTAGTGTATTTGTTCCATCGATGCAAGCCGTTTGCATGGTCTCCATGTCGACGTAACGCTTAACTTTCGTCAGCAATTGCATTCATTCAAATAGACAGTCAGATGGCACTAAATCAGACTGGCGAGCACAGCAAGTGTTTGATAAATAAAAGACGATTGATTCTTAGTAAAAAACGAAAAAAACTTGCCTAAGCAATTTTTGATTATAAGCTAGTCATGCGGGAGACGAAACATAAGAAGACCTTTTCAAAGATAATGTGTTCAGCGAAAATGCGGTAAATGTCGATAAAAAAAATTTTCGGTTATGTTTGATTAGATAATTCACGGTTCTGATGGCATTTGTGATTAACGGATTAAAAATTTCGCGATGAGTTTAAATAGTGATAGCCTTTTTGGAAAAGCGTACACAAACCGAATATTTGCGGAGGGCAAGGGCGGTCGAAAAATGACTTGAAAGTTAATCGTCAGTCAGTTGAAAGTTAGTGCAGAATGTCCAGTCAAGAGAGTTTAATTGCAATATTCGTACGGGCAAGACGAGAACAAGAATTAAAGCCCGGCAGTTTCTATAAGTAGTTTATAAATAGATCTCCTAAGAATTCGAAATAAAATCTATGCTATCCTAAAAATCACAATTCAGCGGCACGAATTTAATATCAAAAGCGCTTGAATAAATATATATAAAATCAGGTAGGGCAAGTTTACGTTACAACGCTTTAATGCTTACAATATTGTATACACTTCACTTGCTCTTCTGATTGATATCCTTTGATATATAATGTCACAGTTTTAACACTTGGACTTAAGTTCAATTTACTAATATTTTAAGCTTAAAAATAATCGAAGTAAAAGTTTATCTGTGCTTCCATGATCTTGCCTATTTAAGCCTTTTAGCCTTAAGAGGGTTGCTTAATATGGTTAAACGTGTAATTGTGTAGCTAGAGGTGAGTAGATAAATGAATAAATAACACGCAGAAACAAGCTCCAAAAATCCCATAACGTATATAAATTCGTGGTCAGCTTCAAATTTGAAGAGCACCTAAGCGGGTCTGTCTATCCATCTGTCCGCCCCCCAACTGTGGAATATCTGTGGTAAACAGTCTCCCATTAGTGAAAATGAAGATATCGCCCACAAATTTACAGAACAGTTTGAAAATGGCCTAAACTAGGCAAAGAACACACCGACAGATATATCTCTAGAAAATTATCCTACAAAAATAGATAAAAATCAGTTACGTCCACCTAATATTAGGGAGTATGCATATTTATATATTTACCCTTTTTTTAATCTGTCATAAGATAGCGGCGATGTTCATAAAAGTTTCGATCGCGGCCCTATACAATTTTCTCAATTTTTTTTTTTAATTCGCTTTTGCGCCGATACCAACCAAGCTCTAAGTTTATGTATTCACTTCGCATGCAAGTTTTATAGAAATTCATGGATATGAATGAATATCCCTTTTTAATTCAGGCAACCATTAAAATATTATTGCCTATAGAATTTGTTACTTCAAAAAAGTGTTGCATGTATTGGTATGAAAAGGATAACAGCTAAGAAAATGAAAGCTTAACTATTTTAGATAAAAAACTCTTTAAAATATTTCTTATTTCATATCATAAATGATCTTCTAAAGCCAATATTCACCAAAAATGCATTGCAGGAAAGCAATAACTGCGGAGCAAAAAGAGTATCGATTATCAAAATTAACATGTCGACAATTGTCAAGTAGTGTTGTGAAAGTTGTATCGAACATCACTTGAGTTAAGAATGTGTTAGGTTTGTGTGGATGAATGAAAGATTCAGAAGCACTTCACGCTACATTGAGCCCATTCTACATGTGATATATTTATTCGTCTGTCCTTCAGTTAGTAGTTCCATTTCCCTACATGAATGTCTCACTTGCCAACTCGTTTATTACTCCATGAAACTAAATATAGAGGAAAAAGTAATGAAATTATTTGTTTACATTTTTCATCATAAGTTTAGCCGCTAGCAAAAGATGATGGTCTTCATACGCAATTAACGTTCAACGGCTTTGTTAAAAAACGCTTTAACTACATTTTTATTACGACTTATATTACGGAACGAATTCAGACTTCTCCAATAAATTATTTGTTCTCGTCGGTCTTTCATCAAAATATCTCGGAAATTTAGTACAAAGCTGCATGGACAGGCGTCAGACAAGCTTACAATTATTCCTGAATCGATCGGTATAATGAAGGGTGACTCCACCTCAAGTCCTTCCCTGTACCACAAATGATGTGGGGTATAATGAAGCAAATCGTTCGAAGAACACGCTTACAATATAACGTACACTGAAAAATCTTGGTGTTTTTTTCCATGTTTCTCGTAAACCATAACAGATTTGCTGAGAAAAATTTTCTAGATATTCTATAGGAAATTCTAGAGCATGTATTGGTACAAAAAAAAAAACGACCGCGTGCATCCGACGTTATAGTATAGTATCGACATCTCATTTTTTCGTCTTTTTTTTTTTTAAGATAATGTAAATGGTCATTAACAATCGTACATAATTTTCTCCTTTGTTTTCCTGTAGTCATATTTCTTTTGAAATTATGGTTAATACAAATACCACCATTAGTTTCTGTCAATATTTATATATGTAATAGTGCTGTGTCTGTACAAAAATTATGTACATAAAGTAGGTAGGCGGATAGCGCGTTATATGTACCTGCGATATTTGGAATTATTCGTGTATAGTGTTCAGTAAAACTTTAGCAAGCATCAACATTTCATATGTATATATATTATATATGTTTTTTCGCTAATTTTCGAATATAAATAGAGCAAGAATAGTTTTAAAATTTAATTTTATGGCTCAAAATAACTTATAAATGAAGAAGAAGAGAAAAACAATGAAATATATCCAGAAACTCTGAATAAACTATAGGTGTGCTTACCATCATGGAACTGCAATAATAATATGAATAAAGTTATTTAGAAATCTTATGAAAATATTTTGTTAAATGAGGAAAACAGTTGAGTGTTAAAATTCTTCTGATGTTCAGGTGCTTGTGCAATAATCAAATTAGATGAGGGATTATCCGGTAAGAAAAAGAAGTTAGTAAAAAAATTCCCTTCAACTTCAATGAGTGAGTGAATTCTAAAACCCAGTAAAAAGCTTCTTCAACTTAAGGGTTAAAATACTATTTAATGAACCCGCAATTATAGCTTCTTTTCTCGAATGTATTTACCCTTATAGTGTTTCACATTTACATGCATATTATTGCGAGTTGTTTACATTATAGATCCACTTAGTGTATGAGCTTCCGAACGCAAGTCGATAACCATAGACAACACATCATGTGTGAAAGAAAAACTTGACATTACTTTTAGACATTTGAATGTGGTTAGTTTGCTATGAAGGAGCGACATGTAATTTCAAAAAATTATTAGTATCTAATTTTAAAAACTACTGTTTGCAAGTGTGTCTCTAGAAGAGCACATGGGTTCCGCCAAAGGACCCAATTTTATAAAACAGCGCTTACCTAACAAACCCCATAAATAGGGCTTCAAGTTGTTTGTCTTATGTATATTATCTGGATATGCTTATAACAGCTTTTTAGACAGGTGTAGGATCAGAATTAAAAATCGCAAGTGATATATTCTTTTATCACATGATGTACAACAAAAATATCCCACACCTTACATAGACTAGAACTTGCAGAGACATTATGCTTTCATAAAAAATATGATGGATATAAAACAGGGAGACCGACTAATTTATAAAGGGAGATGGAAGATAAAGACACCGACGTGCCACGAAGTCCATCTCGCCAAAACATACACGCACTGATGGTATAGGTCATGATGAAGAGGGGATTGCAAAAAATTTTCGCGGACTGAGTGTATCAAATGCAATGTTACTTTGTCTCAGCACAAACATCGCAATTACTTTACTATATTCATTCAAAAATAATATGAAAATGTCTACATTAATATATAATATAAATACCTGATCATTTGTCTACGTGTATGTGTTAGTAATAAACGCATATCTCTGCCAAAAGTATGCATAACAATTTTTTCAAAAGCAAATGCCCAGTATTATCACGGGGACTTTTTAAATATTTTTTACGTAAGCTATGATGACATATTCGACATTTTTATAAGAAACAGTCTTTTAAAATTCAAAATAAGAAATCATGCCTTTAAGGGTTAATCAATTTACCGAAATACATTTTTTTCATATGAATGAATATAAGTTACGGTACTTAGCCGTATGAGTGGGCGAGTACGCAACGGATGTCGACTAACAACTCGAATAGTCGTAAGCTCAAGTGTGAAATGCGCTAAAGTTTTCAATAAAGCCGATTGCCTTAGATAGGTACTAGTGCTTTGACTTGGCTCTAGTCTTAGAATTTATTTCTCTGATGTTATCAATAGTAATAATAATAATAATAGTAATAGTTAAGGTATTTAAACCATATTCCTAAAAAATAAGAAAAGATAAATAAAAAAAATATGTGGGGAAAAAAATTAACAAGGCGGCCTAAACGCTTAACCCTTACGCTGATTAATAATGTAATTTTTCAGTTATAAATTGGTGTTATCACCACGTCTGCGTTCTAATAATTTTTCAATTAAGTTGACTAATTATACAAAAATATATTATCTATATTTCTGTTTCCATTTTCTTTTCCGTTTTTTTTTTTTTTTTTTTAATCTAGCGCGAGAAATTTATTTTTTTCGATTATTTTTTATTTTTCACTATTATCCTGCATTTCATTCCGCGACCGAACGTAAACTAAATGTCTTATTAAACTTTACGATAATGTTATAGTGCATAGCTGTGCAGCCGATTGCTTGCAGGTTGCAGATACAGAAAAAACTTTTGTGCGCAACAACGAATGTGAGTTTAAGAAATATTTACTTTTAAATGCTTAAGTATTTAAGTGAGATATTATTATGCATTCCAAACCCGATAGGCATTTCGTTACGGTCAATGAGTGATAGCTTAGCTTTTACATAAAATGTAATTGATCAGAATAACAATTGAAAATCACTTCTTAAACGGTCAACAAAGCTAAATCGAAAGGTTCTGTTTTCATACGAATGAAAATTCGAATGCTTCGACTTTAATTAGGTTTTGTTGAATCACGCTAATAAGGAACAGGCTTTGATAAGTTACCGGTAAGTTGAAATCAGGTTTACGATCTAGATGTGATTTCTTTCAGTATATGGATCACGAATTGCCGAGGCTAACACATACAGATATCATCCATAATAAAAAAAAAAAACAAAACAAAAACTTTTAAAAAGCGTGGACTTTTAACCGATAGCTGTTAAGTTCGAATTTCGTCTGTTGATTAAAAATTGATCTTCGGTGGAAAGACATATTCTGCACGGTCTAAGTTAGTAGTAATTGGACAAGTGTTACGGCAACAAAAAAAGCAAATTGCCAGCGGATACTGATTTTAAGCGAGGACGATAATTCTGGACATAATGAACACATGGCTACATGGCATGGTGGCTACAGAAACGAAACATCTAAAATATCTTCAAAGCTCTTTAGAATAATCGAAGGGTCAGCTGCCTATATCAAGTGTACATAGATATCAAAAGGAAATGTAGTCATTGCTTTGCATGAAAGTTTGGACATTGGAAAAACTGTTTTTCTGAGAGGTGTCGTATTTATTTATCGATTGTAGAACAGAAAGATTAATTTTTTACTAATGGTAAAATTGTATGAATTTGGATCCAAATTGCGGCGGCATCCTAGCGATTAATAGTTGTTTGTAAACGTTCAGAGGACGCTCTAAAGAAAGAGCTTTGTTCCTAATGATGAGATCATTGCGAAAATTCATAGATATTTTGAAGATTTTAAAAAGATTTTTACAGGACACTATGTTTATAAATAAAGTTAAATTTTATAAAAGAAATATTTTTTCTTACATAGAGCCCCGGAACTTGCTAATCGATATGTTACTTATTACTTTGTTTTGCGTTCTTTTTTTAAATGCACGCTTTCTGTATTGAAATGAACTACGATTGTAGATCCGTAGCGGAATTCTTTACCCTGCGCACGTTTTATCGAACCCGAAATTATGATTGTATACCTCTGCTATTATTTAATTTTATTGATCGCAGGTTTATCAATTAGTCTTTAAATATTAAAAGTTTGCAATAGACAATAAGAATTTTATAGAAAATTATAGAAAATACAAGAAAAAGACTACAAAATAAAAGAGAAACGAAAACAATCGTAAAAACTTTCCCAATTTTCTTCTTTTTTTTTTTTTTTTTCTTTTGTTTTATTATTAAGAAAAGTTCGCCTTATCAATTGACGTTCATAAGTAGAAATATTAGCAAATAGTGTGTCGTTTACTTACATGAAATGATGGATAGATTAAATTTAACATAACGGTTTTAATAGTTCAATGTACACAAAATAGACCATGGAAAACTCAACGTCAAAAACGATTAGATAGACTTTATTTAAATAGCTCGTGTATGTGAAGTTGACCTAAAGTATGAAAAAAATATTTGATTTATATTAAGTCTTTTCCTTATTTACGTAGAGGAATTTTTGCGTTTTGTCAAAGTATACCAAAGAAATTGATAACTCGTTTATAAACGGATCGTAAATAATTGCAATCTATTAAAAGATGTAAACATACCGTGTTTTTACTGATAATTCAAAGGTGTGTAACTAACTCATAACTAACTAGAAAAGGAAGTAAGAGATCCTTACTATCTTTACGTTTGGATGTTGCCAAGCATTTTAGGAAATTATTAACTATTATGAAAAGGTAAGGCAGTCAGGCCATGAAATTCTTATATCATTTCGCTTAATACAATTTTTCGATTATTTTTATGTTTAAATATCGAAAATTATGCATCGTTATCAAATTACGGATTGCTTTCAATAGGATCGTGTATATGAGAGAGATTCCGCTCAGTAAGTTTACATTTCAAATCCAAAGTGGAAACCATATCCTGTTGGCATATGAGGGTTTACTTTCCATGAAAACCCATGAAACATATAACTTCTTCTTTTTTTTTTATACCCATCGCCGAAGAATGAGGGCTATATATTTATTTTGTCAAAACGTTTACAACGCCCACAAGAAAGGATCACATACCCCACAAAGTACCTATATTCTTACTCAGCATCAAATTCTAAATCGAATTAGGCATGTCCGTCTGCCCGTCTGTTTAATGTCTGCCCATCTGTAAAAATCCTCTAGTCCGAAAAAATGAAGCTATCTTCAATTTTGGTAGAAATATTGGAAGTTGGTATTGAAAATGGGACAAATCGGTCAAAGGTCAAATTATTTATAAACTATAGCAAATAAATTTCTAAAAATTTGAACGCATATTCTGTGTTCGATGCTGTAGCATTTGTGCACAAAAAAGAAGAAAATTGACCACATCTACCCAATATTCGCTCCCGACCGAATTTAATTTTCTTGTTAGCATATTGTAATAAAGTTGGTTCAAAATTATAATTTAGCATGTAAATTTACAGCTGATGTCCGAAGAGGAAAGATTCATTTTAATTGAGGACAAACTTTTTAATTATATCACTTGTAGTAGAGGGTGGATTAAATTTGTGCAGACGTGTGTAACATCCACAAGGACTGGTTTTATAAAACAGACTGTCCCACTCTGCCCCCTCATTGTAACGATCAATTCAAGATCATTTTCTTAACCGATCAAAGTTCTATTGTCTGCCCATATATTCATCCTACAGGCCAGAATTTTTGACATATTTTCATGATATTTGGTACACCGACGTCTTTTGGGCCGAGGACGAAACTGTTGAAAATTGTTTAAATCGGACCACTTCCCATATAATGCGTTAGGTAGGGTATTTAATGGCGAACCGTGTCCTACTACAATGTTCTTATTTGTTTGTAAAAGAAATGCATACCGTTCAAACAATCCGCCCCTCCTCCATTCGTCCTAGTGCGTCTATCTCGCCTTTCCTTTCTGCATGTTGCCTACAGCCGTAAATTATTTATGAGTGCCGTGTAGTATAAGAATGTATGAGGAATTTCCTCAGAAAAATGTGGCGGGATTGTTTTCACATTGATTCATTTATCGCATGTTTGTTTTAGTGCAGTTTAACTCCAAATTTCTTATAGGATTTGATTTCTATAAAGTGGTAATTCAACTTATTTCCAATCAAATACATATGCATTGTAAAGCTTTTATCATTTCTATACTGCATATGCTTCTACAAAAAGATGCACACAACAGCACAATGTGACACTTGCGGTGAAGTGTCTACTTTTCAAGTTTTTTTCTTCTTAAGTGTTTTCTTTTATAGGTTTGTATGCCATTGCCTCTGCACGTACAGACTTATGTATCAAAGTGCGCAAGCATGGAAACGGAGGACAATTTCGTTAGATTCTTTTTTCACATATATGCCACTAGTAAGCATATTACCTTTATCATTCCTTACGTGAGACTGCGGAAGCGTCTATTCATATCTTTGATAGGAAAACCAAATAATATAGTGATAGTCTTCCATTTAAAATCTAATATCATATTGTTTAAATCTAAATTTATTTCAAGCGGATTACTTTCGGCTGTGGCCGAATTTTTTACACCTCACGCCTTTAGCTGTAACGACAACTCAAAAAACAGAAAATTACATTTCAGTATTCTATAAATTTGTCAACTTGTTTACATCTTACTACAATCTTACTACTGCACAATCAGCCATAGAATATATGTTAAAATTGTTATAATTGCATTTGTTTTACGTTATAAGTATTGAGCCGATACAAAAAATGCAAATTTTTTCTTAACATGGGAATTTTTACATGTGAAATCACAAACCGTATGATACATAAAAAAAATTTTCAGATGGAAGCCTTACTGATCTCGAAAATTAAACCTCTTTCGCTAAACCAATTTGGTTTAGCCATAAAGCACACAATTTTGCATTTACAACAACGCACTACAAATTTTTTAAAAATATTATTTAATATTTAGTAACAATCGTATGAATTTTTCAAAGATTGATTGTGTCAAAATATGAGATGGATTGGAATGTTTTTTTCGAGATTAGTCCCAGCCACGAAGCTTACCACAATAAATAACGGAACTCATAAACATAAATAGTCGCGGATTCAAATGTCAAGTGCGGCAGAGTCTTCAATATAGGCGAGCACATAGTCTAAGTTATCCGGCAGCTTACTCCATACTTCTATATTCATTCAAGAAAATACATAGACCATAATTAAATAAATAAATGCGCAATCAACTGAAATCTGACATCGGATAGCAGTTCACATTTCATTAAATCGACTGGAAAGTTTTTTTATAAAATCCTGATTTCCAAGTGTGGTCCCGAAATGCTTTATTGCGCTACATTAAGCCCTTTCAGCTTCATAGACTTTCCATATAACAATTTATTTTGCAAAGTTTTACGGATACTTGTATTAAGCGAAGTGGCATAAGATATTTAATGGTGGGCCGTGGCCCACTGTAATGCTTTTGCTAGCTTTTCAGTTGCCTTCAAAGTTTTTACGCAAAATTGATATGAATTATTTTACGGTGCGGCGGCAACTTGTATTTATAAATAATAAAAATGTTTAACTTTTGCTATTTACTATTTCCATATCCGATATTTCCATTTCCATTTCAAAAATAGTCTGTTCGTTTCTTTTTTTTTTTTTTTATTCAGTTG